GACATCAAATTTACAATATAATTAAATTATGTAATTCAAAAAAATTTACGAAAAATTTCGAATATTTATTACAATCAAAGATGTTATATTACAATTTTCAATTGGTTTCAATTTTTTTTAGACATATATCCAAAAAAAAATTAAAACTAATTGAAAATTGTAATGTGACATCTCTGCTTACAATATAAAAAATTTCGAAATTTTTTGTTAACTATAAAACTTTGACAATAAATTTTTGCCAAATTTTTTTCAATTCGAGGTTTTATAACTTTCTCATCTATAGTTATTTTTTTATATTTGTGGCTGAGGAAGGCTTGAGCCACACCAATTGCAAAAGCCACCACTTTATTACTCGCATTCCCCTTGGGAAATACTTTGGTTAAAATTTGCGAAATATACATATCAGTTGGATTACCAGTAACAATAGGCGAAAATATTTTAGCATATGCGTCTCTTGTTTTTTTAGATTTTTTTCAATCCCGGATCTCCTTGGAGATAGCATCACTCTTGATCCTGTCTAGCAAGCTATCCCCATATGCCGAAAATACTACTTCTTTAACCCTGGTAGGCACTCAAGAATTCTGTGCCAGCTTATGTCGATCATTCACCATGTGATAAATAATCATGTATATACATTGATATTCATGCATATGTTCACTTAAATTCTACGCGATGGATTTTTTTTTTTTGCAATATAATTTCGTGCTATAAATACACTATAAATACTTAAATTATTTATAAAAGGGATATCAAATTAGAGTTTTATATAAAAAGAACATACAAAAAGAAATATAAATTAGTTTTTTTGTGTAAAAAGAGCATACAAAAATACATAATTCTTTTAACTCTGAAATTGTTAAACCGGTTTAGAAAATATTGTAGGTTCAAAATTCTTACTGAATGTTTCAAACCCATTTAAATTTGAATTAAATACACTTGTAGTTTATATACTTGGGGTTTCGAAGTTAACAAATAAGTGACATATTTCGAAAATAAATAGGATATTTCAATAGCATTTTTACTATGTTGAATTATAAATCGGAAAATAAAAATAATTCACTGATTTAACTTAATGTATACTGTATCTTAAATAGATATTAAGAAGTTTCTGAATTAAAAAAAAAAAATAGCATATTTCGGAAATAAATAAGAGTTTAAATTAAAGACAACTTTCGCTCAAATTACTTACTAAACCTTCGCTTAAAAATTACTTACTGAACCTTGGCTCAAATTACTTATTAAACCTTTGCTCAAGTTATTTTTTTATATAATTTACAATCTTAGCTCAAATTATTTAGAACCTTCACTCAAATTACTTACTGAACCTTCGTTCAAATTAATTACTGAACCTTTGCTCAAATTACTTATTAAACCTTTGCTTAAATTTTTTTTTTATATAACTTGCTAAACCCTTACTCCAATTACTTACTAAACCTTCGCTCAAATTATTTATTAAACCTTCACTTAAGTTATTTTTCTATATAACTTACTAAACTTTTGCTCAAATTGCTTACTAAACTTTTGCTCAAATAGCTTACTAAACCTTTGCTTAAATTATTTTTTATATTACTTAACCTTTGCTTAAATTATTTTGAATATAACTTATTAAGCCTTCGCTTAAATTATATTTATATAGCTTAACAAATATTATTTAAGTTATCTTATATATTAATATACCTCCAAAGAAAACTTTCAAGCAAACTATTATAATTAAGTAAAAGAACTTGAAAAAAATTGGTAGGTTTAATTGTTTTTCACGTACAGTAAGATATTGTTCCAGTTCCATGGTTTGTGGTATTTTCAATAGTTCTTTATCCAGAACTTTAATAATAGCCTTATTCGTGCTAGTGAGTATTTATTTATCATTGACGCGAAAAATTGTATTACGATAAAAAGCTTTTTTAATAGCCGAACTGCTTCTAATTGATCGATCGATCATATCTAAATTGAATAAAAAATGATTTAGTAACGTGTTTATGTTTAATATAACCAAGTAAGAATACTTATCTTTATGTTATGGTATTAAGGGTTCGTGTTCATGTGAAACCAATATAAATCAGGTTGGAGAAGTAAAGTAAATAACAGATCTGTCATAATGATGAATAAATGATGTATAAATGATGTAATTAATTTAAAAGTGAAACATATTGCATAAAAATGATGTGATAATATAAAAGTGAAAAAAAATATTTGCATTAACGTGTCTCGTATTCGCCCTTTTCTCTCTAAATCTATGTTCTCTTTTTTTCTAAAACCTTTCTGTGTTCTTTTTCTCTTTTAAAACCTATACGCAATTTTTCTCTTTAAATTTGCATATTTCACTATTTAGTAATACATATCATGAGATTTTAGAACCACCACTTAACACAAACATATCATGTAAAACGAACACAGTATTACCCGAACATGTTGCAGATATACTTCCGTTAAACTATAATTATTTTATCTCTGAAGTTCACCAAATTCCTGCTTATATTACAACAGAAGGGTTTTCAGTTGATCATTTTAAAGTTAATTTCTTTGTGAATGTTGATACTAGCGAAGGTGCATGTAAATGGTTTACTGAGTTTGAGGAAATAACAAAAACGACAATGCCTCAAACCAAAGGCTATCAACTTCAGGAAAAAAAGGTTATCTTTCGTGAAATGAGACACTGTATCCATAGTGATGTAGTAAGACAAAAACAAGGGAATCCCATGTTGAAAAAGCCTAATTCAATGCGAATTAGAATTACTGGATGTACAGCTACTATTCATCTTCGACTTGAACGGTGGCGTCTCCAAACACTTTATCCACTAGAAATTAATCTCAAGTTTACACATAATCATGTTATTCATTCTGCAAAGTCCCTTAGTTTCAGGCGCGTCAAAGAAGATATTCGTAAAAAATATATTGATCTTTTTGCTAATGGACACTCACCAGCGACGGCCTTATATGCTTATGAAGATAGTCTTTATTTGAACGCAGAAAACGATCAAGAACTTATGTTATTATTAGCTGACCATGCACAGAACCCTGATTATGGTTATGTTTTAAATTTATTTAAGCAGTATCGTAATGAACATCTTGGAGGAAAAAATGGTATTACTATGTTTCAATGATTAACAGATGAAGTTAATAATTATAATAATTCAGGAAAAGGACGTGCAATATTTCAAGAGTATGATTCTCGGGAAGGAAAAGCCTTTATTCTTTGCATAGTTACGAACTTAATAGACCGTGTTCATAAAATAATTCAGCAATCAGGTGAGATTTGTTATGTGGATGTGTCAGCATCCTTTGAACCGTTAAATACGTCGATTACCTTATTCTATACAAGCTGTATTGTGGGGGCATTGCCTCTCGGTATTCTAGTAACATCTGATGAATTAGAGTTAACCCTTAAGAAGGGAATGAATCTTTTAAAAACGCAATATGCATTTTTTGACCGTGGGCCTAATATTGGACCAATGACTTTTCTGACGGATGATTCAGCTGGTGAACGCAATACTTTAGAGTATTGTTGGCCACAAGCAGGACGCTTATTATGTGTATTCCATGTCCTACAAGCGTTCTGGCGTTGGTTACATAATTCGAAGCACTGCATAGATAAAAATTATAAAATACTCATTATGAAAACTATGAGAAGAATCCTATATGCTCAAATGGAAATTGAAATGATAAAATATTACAATGAGTTAAAGGCTAATTACTATCATATCTATCTGCAATTACAAAAACATTTTGAGTTACTTTGGAGCAGACGACAATTTTGGGCATTACTTTTTCGTACTGGGCTTTTCACACGTGGTAATAATACCAACAACTACATCGAACGTAGCTTCGGATTATTAAAGGATATTATATTTGCACACACACAGGCATACAACATTGTTCAGGTGTTTCAATTTATCATTACAAATATGGAACAGTACTATGAGCGTCGGTTACTAGGAATAGCACATAGTCATCCTGGTCATCTTCAAATTGCTAGAAGGTTTTTGTGTCCCGGTTGGGATGCGATTAATGCTGCAGAGATTCGACAAACTGAGTTAACCACAGAATATATGGTCCCAAGCCAAGAAAAAGGCATAGACTTATTTTACATAGTCAATACTGAGTTCTGTACATGTACTTGTTTTGTAGGACTATCGGGAGCACCATGTAAACATTAGGGAGCAGTGGCCGCAAAATATCATATTGGATCTTTAAATTTTCTTCCATCACTAACACCTAATGATCGTGCCCGTTTTGCATATATTGCACGTGGTAAGCATTTTATAATTAATTGAATGCGCTAAATGGTTTTTATAAATATATTTTTTGGTTAACTTAATAGCATTTATTTATATGATCTTTATACATAATTTAGGT